AAGTTTTAGTTCAGAATATTGTGACCAATGGAATTTCCCGGAACGTAAACAACAACGGTGATTAGTGGTAGGCGCACCTCAAACAAAGATGTTTCTCATTAGTTATTCAGTGAAAATCACCCCTAATTCCCATTCTCGATGGAAAGCAGAGAACGGCAAAAGGTGGATTAAGGATCGTTTCTACCACGTTTGTTTAGTTAACGGGGTACAGTGGAGTTGCAGTCGCGTTTATTGAATAGATTTCTTGGTTCTCCAGTAAATAGAAAAGGCGCACGCCAGTGGCAGGGGAAACAAACAGTATACGTTCATTTTCGAATATGCATATATGAAGAAAGGGAAAGATTTGCTGGTCTGGAAAACCAGAGAGTGACATAGCGAGGAGAAAAATTGAACAAGCTCGGACGGAAGAGGTTGAGGGTCATTGTGAAAAAAGCAAAAAAGCTCTGATGTCGACGGTTCAGTTTATGCGCTGGTAGATTAGATAGAACAAAGAGCGCGCTTGGTTATCAAAGTAACCAGATTCAGAGGCGAGTCTTTTTGCCACAAAATCGGGGAGATTGCCAGAATAAACCAAAAATGTCATTGGAGCTGTGAAGATCGATACAACCGAAGTTCGAATGATTACGCAAACTCGCAGTATAATGAACTCGTTCGAAGACAATACGGGGTTAGGATGTAACAATATTTCCCGATGGGGGCGGCGGGAAGATAAAAGCATTTATGCAAAGCCACGCACGAGAACATACAGACAGAGAAACACGGGGAGAGACACCGGTCGTAAAACATTTGCAAATGTTGATCAGTAAATTCAGCTCATCGGTTAGATCCCATAATGATACACCGCAAGTGGAGGAGAAGAAGGTCCGTAGAATTTCCGGACAATTGCACAAACAAGTCACGAATAAAATGAGAAAGCGCGTTTTGAGCAATCTGGGATAGTATGAAGCAGGTGAGGGTAATGCTATCAACAACGCGTTCAACATGAACAACTGACGATTGAGAACAAGTGTGTGTTTGTGTGGAGGTATGAACCAAAAGCGTCGTAGGCATTAGCTGATAAAAGAATAATAGGCAGGTAAAAAGTTCGACCAGATAAACACACGAACGCAGACGAGAAGAAAGCGCGTAGCCAAGCAGTGTAAATGACCGTTATAGATAAAAGAACCGGATAAGATGTTCCCACGAAATGGGAGTGAGAAAACAGTAGCGAGCGGTTGAAGTACTTGAGAGTGAGTGAATAGGCGCCAAAAGTGAGCATCTGGGCTGAACAGTGAATGCGAGACACATTTTTAGGTGAACACTGTTTCGAAAACAATTCGGACGAAAACCGAGGGGTCTTTGGATCTTGGATTGCACAATACATCCTCCTTGATTGAGTTTGATTTTCATATATGTATGAGTATATATGTATGTGTATTGCCAGCTGACTCAAGAAGGCCAAATGCATGTACGATGAACTGGGACAGCTCAGACGCAATAGAGGGAGACGGTGAACAGGGATAGAGAAAGAGAAGCAGATGGTGACGTCAGCGAAAGTTGAATTCAGATCGGTGAAGATACCTCAAACGGCCACGGGGTCATCGTCATCAGCTGAACCCAGTCGGCGGGAAAGAGTACCGGTTCTCTGGAAATCGGAGAAACACCAAAGGCAGCATAACAGTTATTCGTGAATAGGCCGCAAAAGCAATGCTACGCAAGCGTGTTATATGAAAATATACACCAACAAATGTTTTCGAAATACCATTCTGAATGAGCCAGATGAAATTACGGACGTTCATCGTTCACACTAGTACCAATGCAGTGGGAAATCAGGAACTGGAAAGCTAAGGAATACATCAAATACTCACATGAAGGTAATCAATACGATTTTTTATTATAGGTCCATTAGCTCCCCTGAGTTGTGTGGGAAGGCGGGAGGTGGTCATGACACAGACAAAATAGATAATTCCGAGAATTCATTGAGAGACTAAAAAACTCACGATTGCTCGCCTCAACGTATGAGCAGTTCATCCCTCGAACGTTTCCTACGATCTCTCGGTCAGTCACTCTAACAGACTCCGCCTAATGGTTTTGGAACGCACCAGTGGGAATCGTTGCTTCATATGTTGATTAATAAGCAACAAACCGTCAGTCAGTGAATAGAAGCTTCTTTTTCAATGACATTCACCACCCGAATTACATGAAAAGCAAAAAAGCGTTTATTTGTCAGTAATTGGATTGAATCTGACAAAAAAGACAAAAGCAGTGTTCCCAGAATCGCTAATGTCACCTCTCATTGCCAACATGACTCGTTTTCGGATCAGAAATGGGATTAACCTGAATGCCCTCCCCCTTCATCAGTTCCGTTGTCAGACAGTCCCTTGCTTCGACTTTTATCAGACTTTCACGCTTTTATTGGACTGAAGGTGACCACGAGAAACATTTGCTACATTTGGATTCATTCAACTGGGACAAAGGAATTTAATCACATAGTACCATTTTTGACGATCCAATGAATCGTAAACCAGAAAATAAAATCGCACATACATCCAAATGTCACTAAGGATTCCCTGGTGATCAGACTGTTTGGAAATGCACCACCATCTTGCGGAACCAGCGTGCTGCGTGACATTTAGAACCGAACAGATTAGTTTGCAATGTCAACAGAGCAAGCGAGCATAGACGCTGACAAATGAAGATGCCGCCAGTGGGTTGCGGCAGCCCATAGTCTTGAAAAGGTTCTGCAAATTCATTCGCTTAGCGCCACGCATTGCGAGAGTGGTCGGCCCTTAGAATATCTGTCTCTTTGGTTGAACTGTGCGGTGCAAATCAGGCACAGTGGACCATCAATCATGTAAGCCTGTGACCGGTAAAACTGGTCTCTCACTCGGTTAAATCCGACACTGCTTCCCGGCAGATGTGATACGGTACTAGTTAGAAAGTGGGTGCGGGGAGTCACTATCCCTTATCTGGACAATACCAAGAACTGGCCCATGTTTCCATGAGCTGTTCACAGTTTAGTCAATCACGTGTTCAAGCCAACTGCTTCGTCATCTGTGATGATAGTTCATTAATATGAAACAGAACACCTGAATGAGTGAATCGAGAAAAGATGTGTGTGTATGCAAAGAAAGAGAGAGGACGAACAAAGTCAGAACAATGGAGTTTATTTTCGGTGTTTCGTTCTTGGCGATATGAAAGCTGTAGCGCGCGATGTAGCATGTGGCATACTGGCTTGGATTGCACCATGTTTCCACCTCTCTTAGAGATGAGCAATCAGTACAACAACCAGAATCGACGTCAAATCGTGCGTCCAAAGGGAGATAAAAGAAGACAAAGGTAAACAAAATACAACACTACTACCACCAGAAACGACAGTGTATTTGCCCTGTTCGGATATTTAATCTTTATGCGAAACTTTGAAAATCACGTTGTTTAGGTCTGTCAGTTCCCCTAACCAAGGACTGTTGTTTCTTTACGGAGGCATGTGGAGAGAGAAATGAAATAACCGATTTCAGAAGTGAGTCGTTAGTGCCCCACTGGACAATCGGACGAAACGACGTGAAACAAGTGACCACTTGCTCACCAGTGCACTGGACAACGTCGGTCTCAAGGTGGTGCTTGCCAAATTCGCATTCAGATCCCGTGAAGCTGAAAGCACAGGGAGGATGTGAAAAATGCGACCGGGTCAATCCAAAATAGCAAACAGAATAGACACTAGTTATAATGTAACAACATTTTACACTTAGCGGATGCAAACTGCATTCTGAACATAGATACACTAGAACCTAAACTATTCAGACAAGTTTTCCACTAGCATGAATTGTCACTCAACAGTACAATTTCATTGGAATGCTCGATATTAGATAAAGTTCGATACTGGGAGAATACCAACACGAAGTCAGGACCTTTTACGAAAGCCGTATTCGCTACAGAGTTGAACAACAAAAAGCAGTCCTGATGAATACGAATTTCCTTGGTGAACTCGAGTGAAAAGGAGCCTTATGTCCGGGAGTGGTTTTGACTGTTCGTAAACAGTGATCTCAATTGTGACACTTAGCAAAGATAGAGAGTGTGAGAGTGCAGTGCAGACGACTGAGTCTAGGGCTGCTGGCTGATAGACCAAGGAATATAGTTATCGTGGGTCCATGGAAGGAGCTTGCATTAAAGAATGAGCACGGTAAAGAATTGGGAGTTCGTATGAGCAGGGAGAGAAATATCAATAGAACAGTATACGCGTAGTGTGTGATGTTCTCCTCCTTTTTTAGAAAAAAAATAGCTGATTGGGACTCAAGGTCAGAACTAACAAAATCAGAGGCCACACTTTGCGGTGTGCCGATCCTAACTAGCTGTTGTTTTTCAAGCGAAATCACGATTGAAAGAATGTTGGTTTGAGGTTGATGTAAACCATTAGGAACGGGAAACTAGTCGACAAAAGGCACGCTACACACTCGCGGGAGATTACGACTGAATAATGAGTTTATATAGCCAAGTATTGCTGGTATCATTGTTCATAAGTGTAGCTAATCTTTTAGAATGGCTAAGGACTACAGACTGAATGAGTTGCAGGTACGGATGCATTCTTACAACTTTGGAGAAGAGCGTAACTATCGTGTCCCCTATTCACGATTTACAAATGCAAGTATTTTTGAGCATCTCAAGTGAAATTGTGCGCCGGAGGCATCTAGTCCAGTTAGAACTGAGCCCACAGACCGGTTATTGCATAAAACCACAGAGGAGCAGCCAACATTCTGGCATATCGAAAGTACGCACAACAGTGCAGAAATATGGAGGCGTGGCCACCTCTATTTGGATCGGAAGTTATGGGAGAAGTGAACATAACTTCAGCTCTACAAATACAGATCTCCCTGGTTTGATTATCATCCAATATACTTCTTCCATGTAGCTGATCCACTAAATTTATTAATTAAAGGCTTCAGCCTTAAAACACTCATCTCGTTGACTTATGGTACGAAGTAGAGTGCACCTTAAGCGTCCCGTTTGCTCACTAGCTCCCCTCCGCCCACCACACAGACGATCATAAACACACGAGGACGTTTCCACAGACGACCAGTGGGTACATGTCGTCACGCTCTTATCATGACTGTACCCGATCTAGTGCCGACTCACCGTCAGATTGCAAAGTCCCGGTGCCAGTGTCTGTCACGCACGCACTATTGGATATACTACTCGTGTCAAAGTCCAAAGTTCAAAAATAATGTGGGGAACGAAACGTTTAGCGCCGCAAAGATCTGGTAGTTTGATTCGCGAACAGGTCCGAAATTTGAACCCTTCCACCGGTTAGGTGGATAGGCAGTTGCTCTGTTACCCGACTCAATACTAGATCTATCTAAGTGGGGTCTTATGCGATTCGCATTTCAAGCAACAGAGTCAAGAGATTCAATTCGTGTTAATGCCAAATGTTATTGCGTGATTAATCCCTTCGATATTTCATCACATTGAAAAATGCAACATAGTTCCCACAAAATGCGACAAAAAGTGATGAGATCAGGTGCCAATGAGAGTGTCAAGCGCGACAGAAATGATCTGAGGCGCAAACCGAGCGTCCGTCGGTTCTATCGGACACGAACTACACAAATATTGATTAGCAATTCAAGTGAAATTTTGAATGCGAATATCAATAAGAATACAGAAATCCAAGCCATATATACAACAGACAAAAAGGAAGTACTGGATTTTAAAAATGACAAATGTGTGGAGTCATCTTACTTGGGATGAAAACACGTGTGAAACGGATGGAATACAGGTGTTGTGTTTTTAAGCATTACCAACTAGTCCAACTTCAATGAACCGGAGATCTCCAGCAAAAGGTACAGTAAAAAAGCGGTTAGTGAAAACCTAGGGTATTTTTCGCTCATGTGCTGAGTGATCAAGCAGTGATCAGCGATATTCAAATTCAAATTGAACACACCCACGCATTGGGTCGAAGGTAACCTCCATTCTCAGTGGTCTCCAACAAACAGTAGGAGATTACAAGTCCATATAATAATATTGTTATATATATATATATATATATATATATATGATCGGAAGTCGAACAATCCATATCCTGCGATCGTAGGCAAACTTCAAAGTTATTCGGAATACCAGGTCAAAATAGCTATGCAGACGGATAAACACGTGAATTTAAAACCTCGATTACTTGTGAGTAGCGGCGCGGTATAAGTGTCACTGATTCCATAACAGTCTTTCAGACTTCATCTTTACACACAATCCTCAGTTTATGAGGCGGATTATACAGTTGGAAAGCGTCAGACACATGTTTCGCTCTAGTTAGAGCTCATTGGAAGTGCATATCCCCCGACCTATGAACTCCAAGACCTGGCATGGAAGACGTCTGGATTACGCTGGGCGTATTTCGTCTTCTGAATAGAATATAAACGCAACTAGATTCTTCCATATTTGACGAGTTGAGTAGTCGCATACATTGTTCGTACATCGTCCCATGAAAAAACCGCTGAAATCCTGAATAACAAAATCGATCTCTTTGGTGCGAAGACGAAAAGTAAGGGTATAGATTCTGGAGGATAAAAATGTCTATCGGTTTGCGAGTTTCATCCGTTCGCACACACTACTAATACAACGATGGGAGGGAATACAGAAAAAGTTCAAGTTTTCAGCACACACTATTGCGGTGAGCAACAGAAGGGAGTAATTAAGTATCCACGAGAACCGAAAACAACGCAGTACTGGAAGTGGAGAACAGCATAAGGCCACAAAAGGATTCGTGCGTTATTAGGTCGGACGGCAGTGAGGCTACTTCTAATAAAATTGAGTGGCGGTGGTGGGATTCGAATATTGGAGCGCAGGGTCGCAAAGCAAGCCGATGACAGAGAATTAAACTGCTTGTCTACTACCCCAGCCACCACCGACACCACCCACAAAATGCGCTATGCACAGCACCATTATCAGCCTGAAAAGCTTTATACGATTAGTAGCTAGCTGTCCATTGAAATCGATTTAACACCAGAGAAATAATTCCTCATGAAGTTTTGCCCATAGACAGGAATAAC